ATCGGGATACGTCAAGGTATTTGTTTTTTCTTTTTCGAATTTGTTCTTCACGAAAAATAAAATGGAGTTAAAATTAGAAAGAGAAAAAGGGGGAAACAATAAAGATTGCAGATACTTTTCTCTTGTTATGATAAAGTATACAAAAGGAACAAAAATTAAACTCTTTATAAGAATCAGACCACGAATACCAAATCCTTCATGCGGGGTAGGTACACTGAATTATAACCGTACCCATTGAAGAAACAATTTCTCTATCATGTCTACACATACTAATTAATGATAAAAGTAGGATATGTTTGATGTTTTTATCAAGTGTATGTTTCATCTGTTCATGTAAAATTTATGCAAAACTTTATTTTCCCCTTAACTTGGCATCACGAAAATGACACATAGATCTAACTGCACCTATATCAGCTGTATATTAGATTTTACTTTTGATGTAAATCTAAATAAGAATTTCAAGATATGATAAGACCATAAACCGAGAACAGACAAGTCAAAATTAAGATCAAGAATATGTTGACTTTCAATTATCAAATAACTTAAAATTGTCTTATTATATTCAATTTTAAATGTATGATAAAAATTTGTTTTATATTTATTATTAAAGTTATTCTTGTTTGAAATGTTCAGTTCATCATTTGTTTGTATGTGAATATTTTACAAACATGCAACATTTTCATCATGTTTGCTGAATAAAAATCAAGATATTCAAAATGTTAAAATTTCTTATTTCGCTTCAGTTTGTTCTCAATTTATGGTTAGTTCAGTGTCGTACAAGTGTATCTTAATTAAAAAAAAATATTTATGTGTGAGAATTTAATCAATTTATGTTTAACAGAATACATTTTCCTAAATCTTCATAGTCAGACAGGTTGACAACAATAATTATTGTAGTCAGCTCACACATATTCCTTAGATCTTATAAAATATGCATAAGAATCCACAGTTGTTACAGTATTTATAACCCAAATTTAAGTAAATCTTGTTTTTGACCTTGACATTTGATCTTGAATATTATCCAGTGTCTAAATGAGGAATTAAAATAATTGACCAAGTTCACAATATTTATTCAGGGTAATTCCTTCTTCGGTGAATATAAATATAATTATAGATATTGGACCAAATAAATATTTTCTACAATTTATATCTACAATGTAAAACAATTGTATGTTCCATTATCATGAGACAAATTCATTAAAAGTGTCCATTAAAGTATACACGTATTTCAATGCCAAGCTCAAAGATACATGTTCATGTAGTTTGCTTTAATTGAAGTTTATCAATGTCTTATTACAATTGTATTATGTTTTACATGCATATTATTTGGCCAGCTTGTCCGTCGCAGGCGGAATTTCAATTGAATTTCAAATGTCAAAGTAGTTGTCAGAGAGATGGTCATAAAGTAACCGAACAGTTTCACAAATGTCATCATTGCACAGAAAACAAATACATCACACACTGATCTCCTTAATAAAGAACACCATCATTTCAGACTCTAGGGGGCTCTTGGACACTGGTTTGAAAATCTTTCATTATTTATTCCAGCAGCAGATGAGATGAAGTGCAATTTGTACAGCTGCAAATTTGCAGGATTGTTCTGAAGAAAAAAAAAACACACCATTATATGCATGTAGATTGTAAATTTTGTCATGTACATTATAAATTGAAACTGTATTCGATCGTGATTATCTTTCTCATTTCATGTACAATTGTCTGAATTTCACCTTTTCTCTCCCAGAGTAATGCATTAATTTTAAAGAAATCAAGCAAAATCAAATCTTATACTGCAACTTCATAGTCGTAACTCATATATTAATTAAACAATCATAATTTACATAATTTACTTGTAGATTATAATTCATTTCATCTCGTCGACTTGCTAACTAGTATGAGTACATTTGTTATAATTTTTTTCTCTCTCTATTTTCTGCTTGTATTAATCTATTTAATATGTTGTTTATTAATTTCTTTTCATTTTTTGCTTGAAATTTGAATATTTAAAAAGGAATGAAAATACATATAACATGACAATGATAACCAGAACAGTTATATATTAATTTCAATTTTTACTTTCAACATTTTGAAAAGAAGAAAATCACTTATTTACAAAATCTGCAGGCACTTCATCTCAACTTAGATAATGATTTTAATGTATTTTAATGATACATGCATAAACACAAAATAAATTATTTAATCATACCTACTTCTAAATGTAAAATCCTTTATATTGTGATGACTAATGAGGGCAGACAAAATTGGGTACCATTCTCTGGAATATAGCAATAACACAACTGAAAAAGGTATAATAAATCTGATCATGTGACAAAGTATTTGTAATTTAACCCCCCTACCCCTCCCCTTTCTACACCTCTTTTTTTTCCACATCCGATTTCTGTGAATATTACAATAGAATAAAATTTTCATAGTTCAAGTCATTAAAACATTGCATAAAGGGAGAGATATGTATAAACATGCACACATTTACAGTGTATAGTATACTTACATGGTCTTGCACCAAACAACTGCGATTATGATCTGTTATAGTCCGCCGCTGACGGTTCAAGTGGAGTTATCCAGACAAACAGAGCACATTTAACGGAGAAACAAGTTATTTAACTGTAACACAAGTAGGAATCGAGTTAATCATCCAAACATGCTGAAGAAATACGATCTTTTTATGTCCGATTCTTCTTTGTTTACATGCGAAACTTCTTACGGTGATCGTTCACGGTTAGATCGTACGCCATATTACTCGAAGGTAATAGAATAAATGTGTGTTAAGAAAAAAAAATGGGTATTTTCTTTTGTGATTCTATAAATATTTCTTTTGTAAACGTTTTATATCCTTTGCGTTTCTGTAATTTATTCTGAAATATGAATTTACCTTTACTCGAATCTGATTGGCTGTAGGATACAGGATAGGATAGGATAGGATTGGATTAACTACTATATGTTTCTATCGTGAATCCTCAATCCTGAATCCTATCCAAACCCATCCCATGTCAACTTGTGGGATAGCAGCACTGTATACTCGGTAATAACACACTGAAAGAATTTTTTTCACGAAAACAATTTAATGATTTTGGACTTGTTTGTCATTAAAATAACGTCAACAGTCAGTTGGCTTATTAAAATACATCCTGTCTGTTTAAATATCATACACATTAATATTGTCCTTTAATTGCACATGTGTAGTATGTAGAAATATACAATTTCAAATGTACACTATAAATGGCTTTTAGAGTTTCTGCATTGCCTTGCATTTGAGATCATTTTTTTTTTCTCTATTGACTCTCAAGCTTTTTCAAAACTAAAACTTGACAACATTATTATTTTTACAGAGAAAAAATTCATTATACTTTTAAAAAAGTATGTGAATGTTTACTCTAATTAAGAAATCAATTTTATTACTTAAGCATATTACATTTTTATCCTCTGAATATAACTCCTTTATTTCTTAGAAAAAGCGAGGCTGTTAATCAGTAAGTAAACGCCGCATAGCAAGCCATATGTATAGTGTGGAACAGTGGCTCTTCCGTCAATGAAACATACAGTGACATACATATAAAACTAATGATAATATATTTAGCCACTGATTTACCGTGGATTCGTAATACTTATGAATTCGTAGATAGATTTAATTGATAAAAAAAGTTCAATATTTTAATAGAGGTTAAAAAAATTGCAATTTTATCGCCAATCTTTATCAAAATTCACTTTAGAATGTAAAACAGTGTCCCCAGTGTATAAGATCAAGCGTCACACTAATTTGTGGTACGTTAACAAAATCGAGTTACTTCTGTATGCCGCTCTATTTTGGACACATTTTTCTTAATCAAAAATAAAAAAATATTGACCAGAATCTGTGTATCATTTGATAGAATATTGTATTTCATAAATTTTAATAACTTGCTGTAAATATGCAATAAAATAAACTAGAAATTGAACAATTAGTTATAATTATTTTCAGTAATAATCAAAATCATGCAATTATAAATATTGAATTCAATGTTTTTAAAATATTATTCATCAGCCATACTGTAAAAAAACAATTATTTTCATCATTTTTTATTCGCGATTTGGCATTTTGTAATAAATCTCGACGATAAATTTTCGCGACTAAGGAGACATTCTTTACAAATACAACGCAAAATTTTTTTTTTCTTTGTTTTCTTGTTTTAGAAATGATACAAATGTGATAACGTTTTCATTTACACTTGGCCAGATGAGTAGAGGATCACAACATGTGAGAATTTTAACTTTCGTGATCTAAAATGCTATGATCTATATGTTTTTATTCAGTGCATAAATGTGAGGTTTGACCAGTCTGCTAAATTGGCTAGTGATTCAAGAACTGACGATGAAAAATTAACAAAAGCTAGCTTAAATCTTGCGTTCAGAACAACAAGTGATTTATAAAATTCAATTTGTATTCCATACTTAACCTTTTCTCGGAGATACTTATATTTATAATTGCCGAAGACTTGAGGATTTTGTTTTATAATTTAAAAAGTGAGACCTGAGGATTCACCGATAAATGCTCGCATAGTGTAACTACTGCACAGGTTGCCCTTTGCGTACCTAATTTCGTCTCATAAATATGAACCGATTATTACCGTAGAAATAACATGTAACAGAACATTTTGCAGCAAAACTTGATTTCACAATTGGAGAAGTATGACTTAATCATCATCATTTTTTTTTTTTTTGGGGGGGGGGGGGAGGGGGGGAGAGAGACGAACATTACTCGATGATTTCTCATTCTAAAAAGTTTGAAAATCCTGTGACAAAGGCTTTTCCGACATAGGTTATACCTTAAACGATATACAGTACCCATTCTTTTATACAAGTTTAACATTATCTTAATGTTCCAGGGTCATAAAAATAAGATTTAAAATTAAGATCAAACAAAATCGTACTTTTGAAAGTCTGTATTTTCTTTTGTATTATCTCAAAACAAGACCTATCAATCCAAAGAAAAACGGATCAGAAAGTCATTAGATTTGGAAATGTTTCTTTCTTTAGAGATTCAAGTATATAAAAAATGTTGTTTTTCCCCTGGGAACACTTGTTCATAAAGTCCGATTCCGCTCTGGACTGAAAGAGTTCAAAAGATTCTGATTATCTATTGGATACCGGCACATCTTATCAACCACATGATAATATTCACTCAAATGTTCACAAGGAATCTCACAGCATTTTCCACTTTGGCAAGGATCAGACTCTATAGAAAGAGAAAAATAAACAAATCTGTATACATACACAATGTATGTATATTTATGTGTACATGTTTCTATACTAATAATGATGACATAAGCTTTACATAAGATACAGCATAAAAATATGGTTTAAATGAGCACAGTTTCAAAAAATATGAGACAATGGTATTTAAGTTAAATAATAAGAGAATACGGAGCTGTGCGTTTTACTTCTTTGTAGCAATTAATTAGTGATAATAAATTCGATTAATTAGGCAAATCACAAATCGCCACAGGAGACAAGACTGACAGGACGGTGCCTTGCATTCATTTGGAAATAATTATCATCTTTTAATTCAATATTTTAAACGGTTAATAAATAGAGTTTATTAGCTTAGTTGTAGCGCTAGAACTTTGGTTTTCATCTGTTTGAGTTCATTTAATGACTTTTAACCTCCTGTATGTCCTGAGGAGAGGAAAAGTGCGTCAAAAAAATTTAAAATGTCCAGTGAAACACTTAAAATGTCTAGAGTTTCTTAGTTGTGGTAAAAACCTGTTAATGTCCGAGACAAAATTGAGGATTTTGACTTGCAGAATTTTATCATATAATCGGTTTAGAAATATGATGATATTTTAGGTTTATCCGCGAAGCGGATTATAAAACAGCGTAAACTGACCCAATCCAGGTTATACTCGAATAATTTGACCAAGAATTAGAGTCATTCCTTATAATTTAATTTTAAAATCATTAAATAACTATGGGTGTAAAATTTCGTTGCTTTTTATTAGTTCAAATTTGCCGCTCAATAATACAACCGTAGTAACGGAAGTGATGGGAAGCGAGGGGAGGTAAAAACTGATACAAATGCCTAGCAGCCTTGTTGTTTGTTTACATGTGGTAAGATCGAATTATTGTTTGAAGTTAAAGGTACATTTATTAAATCTGGAATTTTCCATGAACCTGCGGACTGGAAATGAGAGGATTGTATGGATACAGATGATTCAGCTGGTGGTCAGGGGGGGGTGTCCCCATACCAAACCAGGTTATACAGAAGTAATTTTATGTTCCTTTTTGGATATTATCCAATCAGAGGCTAGAATACAAACAAAATTAAATTATATGATGATACTTTGAAAGTTATGATGTTTTTTTTTTTGGTTGTTGTTGTTGTTGTTTTTTTTTTTTTTTTTTTGTTTTTTTTTTTTTTTTTTTTTTTTTTTTTTTGGAGAAACTTTTTTTTCTTGGATTCAGTTTCAGTAAAGTTATTTATGAAATAATTTTTTATATAAATAACCTTTAGATATCCCTCCAATGTTCCTGCATACAAATAAACGGCAGATTCAGTTAATTTTATATGTAAAAGCTTGTCGTGATCAGTTTAAGGTATGCCCTTCAGTAGATTGATTTATTTTGCAGCCCTCCACCGGCAAGTGGTGACGTCTCTATGTGAGTGGAATATTTTCGAGAGAAACATTAAACAGAAAACAAATAAATAAAATGATTGTATTTTGTATCATAAAAAATCGCTATTTCCTTTGGGCACCTTAAATATATTATGTACTTCTATGAATATGAACATAAAAAGATAAAAAGAAACCTACCCTTACAATCCTCATCACTTTCACATTGGATTCCCTTGTGAAACTGAAAAAAAAAATTAGAGAAAAAAAACCTCATAAAACTAGCTTGGGTATTCAATACACTACTAAACAAGGGAGAAAAGAAAATAGATGTGACTTGAAAATCATTTTCCAATTTATACCACTAGTTCTGTTTTAAAATAAAAATACAAATTGTTTGTATATCAAAACGAAAATAATTTACAGGCAACGCAGATTATGCATCCGACCTCACTATAACCGCGGCGTATTCGTCATTACCGAATGATGCTTTCATTGCTTATGATTTTTGTTGCTGGTTTTTTTTTTATATATTATAAAGTTTTGATAAAATATTTTTCGAACTGTCTGTACATTTTTACACTATTTTTAGAGGTTCTTTGCATGACAAATACACAACTCGATCACACGATATCAATAGATCAATCAGTATCAATCGTATGTTCGTATACGGTCACCTTTTTTATCAAAATTCTTTAATAGCCTTTTCTTAAACTGATGGTATTCCTCCTTAACACAGTTCGTCGTTTGCATTTTTCAGTGACAATTTTATAGCGTCTGAAAGACATTTTATGTAAAGATGCAATACTATTAAAAAGTAAAATATTTGCGAGTGAAACAAGATTGCAAAACTAGCAGACTTTATCTACCAGGCACAGGACTGTTTTTATGGGTTTATTTATATCAAATACAGTATATTGTTTGTACCATATAGATAATGAAATGATGAACTCTTTTTTTTTTTATTTCTACTGTATATCGATAGGTCCTAGCGCAGGCGGTGAGGATTACCTTGCTTGACAAACCTCGGAGATGTGCAGCTTTACCTGCCAACCCCTTTACTAATAGTAATCGGTTTTTGCGGAAAATTGATAAAGTGAATTGCCCTTACCGTACGTGAATACACCAAATCAAAGCATTGTTCCTTTTCAAAATCCCAGCATATTTCATCAGTCCCAGAATTTGTACATTTTATATCCTCAGGAATTGGGGTCCCATCTGCCGATGCTTTGTCCGCTTTCAAATTATTCTCATCTGATTTTTGAGTTTCTTTTGATTCGCTTGAGCCTGACTGCGTAAACAAGAGACCCATGAGCCACAGCGCTCACCTGAGAAACAATGGTCTTGATTTTCTTCAAAACTCAGAACCATCATTGTCTCGGGACAATGCTTTTATAAAACCTGAACTTCACTGCCTGAAGATGCTTTCATTTTGAAATGATTGATCATGGAGTTTTTTTCTACTGTGACCTCGTCCTACATTTAGAGACCCAAAAAACCTAAATCTACATTACCTTATAATGTTTGCATAAAATGTTAATAATCATGGTGTTTTTGCTTGCAAAAAGATTTTTAAAAGAATTTGTCTATATATGTTAAAGATTGATACTATATAGGGGTCCTACTCTATCCCCGAAAGCCATATTTTAAACAAACTAGAATCTGCAATTATAATGATAATATTTCATCCTACTCCATCTGTTTGTATGAGAGAAAAAAATAAAGAAATGCCTTTAATATTGACATTTTTTAACATCAATTCTCTGTAAGGACCAAAAATGCTTGGCCACGCACTATCATGGAATTTTATGTTATCACTATAATATTAGAGAGTGCCCTATATAAAGACTATTGGTGGGTAAATTTTGGACAGTACCTCCTTGGTGTCCATAGCAACGACTTTGAAATATTTTGTAAGGGCAAAACTGACCTGATTGTCATCACCATGTAAAATAATTCCGTGCTTCCTTAATGTAGGAAAGTTATCAACATAACATGGGTTTCATTTTATAGCTAAGTAATTAAGGTTTCGTTGCATCTAAATTTTATTCAATTTAACCCAAGGTTTTTAATATGATACAGATCAATTTACATGAATTTGTCATAAAAATGAATACAAAGGCGCCTATTTCTTGATATGCATATTAATTTTTGCAGGCATTTGAAACTTAGAAAAAAGATATTTTTAGTAAGATCGAGCTTAGATCTAAAAGATGCAAAAAGATTTGAGGTTGGGAAATCAGTAAAAAGTCATATTCCAATCCCCTCAAATTATAACTTTTCCTAAAAATTAACCTAGAGTTATTTCCCTTTGCTGACTCTTTTGCACTGAAGACAAAAAATTAAACTGGTGTTATTTCCCTTTGTTGACTCTCCTGTATTGAAGTCTAAAGAAGTTTATAACATCTGGCAAAAACAGACGCCAGAAAAATAAACATGAAACAATAACAGAAAAATGATGTGTTTTTCAACTTTTTAAAATGGAATTCAGGTGTGAATGACAAAGTAAGTCATCAAAAGAAGGAGGCGCTGCTTTCTCGGCATTCAACTTGATAATGATGTACAGGTCTTTATTCGTAATAGATTTTTAAAGTCAAATTCCCTTTGCGAAATATTGAAACAAATTTTATGAAGTCTGACTTGCATTCCCATCATGTGGGATTCCACGTACTCTCTAAATCCATGAGAAAAATGCAAGATGCAATTGGAGGAATACAACAAGCAGAAGATACAGCAGTCAGTGGGAATGATTAGAACAACTCTAGGCACAGGTATAAATTTGAATTTTTTCAAATATTCATTTTGTATAAAAACTACATGTAAGAAGCTTTTTCAATTAAATTGATATGATTTTTAAATTAAATATTTTTATATATATATAATAATAGACTTAATTGGACTATATTCAAAGATCACCATGTTAGCAGGACATTCCAGATATACATCTTAGTAATATATTTGCATTAAAGGAATTTTTGAGTGCTTCAGACAGCAACTTAATTTGGCAAATCATAACTACAAAGTTTATCAAAAGGAGGAGAATGTTATAGAAAATGTATGTTTGTATGTAATGACAAATATACACAAGGTAATTTAATATAAAAAAAATATATTTTTGGTAACGTTGTACACAGTGGCGGATCCAGGAATCTTGAAAAGGGGGAGGGACCAGTTTGGTGTCGTTGTAGGGGCTAAAGGCCACACCAAAAAATTGATATATTAAATCTTATGTATATTTTAGACACAAAAGGGGGGGGGGGCTGGGGCTGGGCCCTCCTCTAAATCCGCCAGTGGTACAGTTTAAAATCTGATTTGGCCCAAAAAAGTAGTACCGGTAGGTGGTGGGTAAAAATTAGAGATGGTCGACTTAACGGAAACACATAATTTTTTTTTTAGCCTAAAAAGAAGTCATATAATTCAGATTCACTGTAAAAGAACAAAACATATTTAACTGTAATATCTCTTGAGAAGTTGATGGCTCGTTTTAATACTCCCCCTTAGGGAGAGTATTAAAACGAGGCATCAGCTTCTCAATAGAGAATAATTTAACTGCAGCTATAAATACATACTAATAAGATATAAATATAATATACTCATGTAAATGTATGTATTCATGATTGACAATAAGAATGAATTTCTTTAATTTGAAAAAAAAGATTTTAAACATATTTTAGATGTACTGGTGCTTTGAAAAAAAGAAGATGAAAAGACACTGGTACATAAAGAGAACCTTTATTCTCTTTATTTCAACACAAAGGCTAAATACCAGAAGCAGGAGGCAGTTACAAAATTAACCAATGGAGAATGAAACCTTGCAATTGACCGTGAGAACTGAACATCGGACAGTATCTAAACTGAACAATATTCTTTTGGAGAAGATTCTGTTAGAGCATGGGGACAGCTTTTGGAGTAGGTGATGGTAAATTGTTTCAGTTTCTTTTACCTTGCAATTGTCTACACTGAAAATACCGTATGTGTGCATAAATTGGCGTACTCAAAATTTAGCGCAATCACTGGGTATGCAGTGGTTGGCGTAATCATGAATTAACGCTACATACGTCTGCGCCATGTATTGTATTTATTAATGGTTTATTTACGGTATTCATTAATTAGCAAATTGCTGTCTGGGCTCAAGGCGATAAAATGTGAAGAACAGGTGCTTGAGGATGGGACCCCCTCCCCCGCGTTCTGTACCCCAAAGGTTCTCCCCGACTTTTTTTTAATAAAATATATTTCTATGACACATTCACAAAGTATTACAACTGAAAAATCCAAAATATAATATAAAACTAACCTTTTGTAAAAATTCATACTTTCTGATACTAAAAGTTCTCTTTTAGTATCCAAGAGTATGAATTTTTATAAAAATAAATAAAACAGTGAACTTCATGTGTATAAACTATAAAAGAAGATGGATTAACTGGAACCAGATATTTGAAAACATAAACATATAGATAAATTTATGTCATCTACATTATTATTTTAGTATATCTTGTGTATTCATATATCTTTTTATTTCATGTTTATTCCTAAAAATCTGTATGTAAGCTTTCCAGCCGTGGTGTGTCTGTATTTGTGTATGTATGTTTGTTTATGTCAAAAGTCAATTTAAAAAGAAACAAAACTTTGTGAATGTGTCATAGAAAAATATTTTATATAAAAAAAGTCGGGGAGAACCCTTGGGGTATGGAACGCAGGGGAGGGGGAGGGTTCCGTCCCGAAGCACCTGTGATAGGAAGCCTGCTTTTTAAAGTACACATGCAGGAATTCTGAGGCAATTTATTTGGAGGTGTAAATACTAACTACATGTACTAGCTTAGTATTATATACATTTTAATAAAAATAGATATGCTTATATACTTGTATTTGTTATCAAATGAAAAATGTAGTAGATATTAAACAATTGATTTTCAATTAAAGTACATGTATGTTTTTTTTTATTCCAGGGGAAAAGATGAAGATGATTATTTCAAGTTTCACTTTTCAAACTCATTTAAAATTCTTCTTGACTGGTCAGACACAAAACCAAATAATGGCCAACCTCTGATGTAAAGAGAAATCATGGAAACATCAAGCCTAGCTGTTTCTATTGTCTACAAAATTGCTATATAGCAGTTATTTTCTACATTTTGTTTATCTCTAAATGCACATTTTGGATAATGTTTAGATGTAGATTCTTGCTTGATTAATAATTTGAAAAAAAAAAAAACTGTTTTTAAAAGTAACGATAAAATTATACATATACACATGAATATGTGTATGTTTCTGATTGTAAGAATATACATTAATGGTTTTATTTTTAATGGGGTGTTAATTTATGGTCAGTCAAAATAATTCTAAATTTCTTTAACCAAATAAAATTGATATCTAAAGATTTGCATCTGGGAACAAGCAAAATTTAAATGGAGGAAATCAACATTAGCTTATCAAATTTCAAACCTGCTAAATTAATATCTACCTACCTATGCATGAAAAAGTAATAATTTATTATTTATTTTTTTTTTATTTACTTATTTATTTATTTATTTTTATTTATTTTTTTTTTTTTTGGTTGAAAAGTATCATTAGAGTTTTTATCCATATCTTTTTCCATTTTTTATCTAGTATTTGAAAATGTTGTTTGCTGAAATAAGTTCCAGTGAAAAGTTGAATAGCTAATTTTCTTTAGATTTTGAGTTACCTGCCCTTTGTAAAGGATCATAGAGAAACAATAATGATTCATTTAATTTTGTTTTATCTTATTTATTATCTTTAATAATATTTACTTATCATTCCGTTTGTCTTATCTATTTGTGAGAAAAATGTTTGGAAAAGAAATTTATAAAACAACCAGTGTCTAGTAACATTTTGAAAAAAAAATATTATTTGGCAAAATGCCAATTTTCGAAGTTAAAAATACCGAAAACGAAAAAAATCCCCACTCTACTTTTCATAAAAGTTAACTAATATTATTATGGTGTTTCTAAAATTTCAGGTGATTTTTCTTGAATTGCCTGCATTTCTTGACAGACTTCTTGAAATATAGGGTAAAAACGATCATTTTCAACATGTAAGAATTTGGTCATCTTTGAGCCATCAATTGAAGAATTTGCAGTGACTTGGAGAATTTTTTTTATTGTGCTATATAGTGCTTCATTTGTTCTATTCATATAATGTATGAATTATCTCAAAATAATAAAGATGACTAAACCACATGAAATCAAGTATATAGTATTTATATGCTTGAATTGAGAGTAAATGGGGCAAAAATCTATATTAGCCCGTTACCATGGCAACCAAGGTAGTAACCTTAATTTTGAATGTTGATTATGTCATAATGTATGGCATTAATCACCTGAAAGAGTTTCATGAAAATCGCTCATGGTGTGTGCCACAGCCCTACAGTAAAATTTTGGTCCTTACAGAGAATTGATGTTAATACTTGTTCTCTAATTATATGGTCCCAGCCTTACGCACAGAGTTTGTCAGGGTTCTCCATGGAATGTTTAAAATGGCGGTCTTGACACAGTTAAATTTCTTAGCGTCAAAATTAAAAATTAGCACTATAGTTCAGCCACAGTTAAATACATAAGTGCCACAGTAAAATAGTCGTCGATCAGCAAGACAGATGTATAAAAATATAATTCTCAAAAGGAACCTCCAATTTATGTACCTTTTTTACTAATGTAAATCTTTAAATTACTCCAATTAGAGCCCAATAGTTGGCTTGCATCTTTACCAATTATCTTCTAAACCTTGCAGAACTTTACGCATGAATGGGAAGAGACAAATCAATTTTTTCACACTTCCTGATAACCGCAAATGAAATGCTAAATGAAATATTAGCATAATTAATTACTTAATTTTACTAAAGGTGAAACTAAAATTGCATTGGCTTTGTGAATCAAATCGTAAACGTTAGGCGTATCATAATTATGTAATAAATAAATGTAATGCTTAACAATTAGCGATAGATTATCCATAAATCAATAGTATTTAATTACTCTTAATTGTTAAATGTGCTTTTAAATTTTATTTTAAAGTTAAAAAAATAAAAACCTTTAGTCAACTTACCAATAACTACAAATACAGTGTATGTAGATACAATCTTGAATGAGTGACCTACCAGAATTTCTTCTGCCGTATAATATACATTGTAGGTGTATTATTTACGTTTTTAAAAATAAAACTGTCTTTTATTTTTTTTTTTTTAATCAGGGCGACAAACTGCGAACTTTTATTTGTACATGTACTTCAATTTCTTTTTTTTTCAGATTTAAAAGGCTTATATCTGTTTGTTTGTTTGTTTGTTTTTATAAATAAGTATGTAGCTGGGGGGGGACTTTTTTCACAGCACACACGTAACATATACATATATAATTTTGAAACGAACTAGTTTTTATTTTACATAATACGTTTTGCTCTATATTCATTATGGTTTTATTCATCATTAAATCATTTTTTAATCGCCAATGTTTTTGATTATGCTAATAAGTTTGTGGTGGGTTCTTTGCGAGCTCGGTCGCAAAATGACTGCAAAATTTAGCACTTTTTTTACGTCTTGCGACACAGTTAAATTCATAATGATGGAGAACCCTTTTTTGTACAAACTTAAATCTACAGTATGTCAAGAAGCTTTCACTTCAGTTACATATTTTGGCCAAAGGTTATTTGGAAGATGACATCATTGAAAACTCACATCAATATTGTATTGTCTGGTTATGATTGTCTATCTCTTAAAGAAAATTTGTTACTTTTTGATCAAGTTCATACTTTTATAAAAAATACTAAAAGATTTTAGAATGTGAAAATGTAATAAGCATTAATGTGCAGCATGTGGATTGAAAGTACATATACATATATGGTTCTGAGCCTTATCCCCTTTTCCCTCCTTTTTTCTCTCTTTCCTTTCATTATTCCACTTTATTGTTCAATTCCCCTCTTTTTTGAATTTTGTACGTTGTATCCTCCTAAAAATTAGTTTAAAATACATGTCTTTGTAACATTTCATGATTTGTACCTTGTTCTTTAATGGAGAGAACTAATATAGGCCATTTTTGCCTGCTGTTCAATCCATGTTCATTGTATATACTGTACATCTATGTATATCGTGAATAAAATACTTCTTAAATTAAACTAAACTCACATCTTATTTTTCCATTATGTCGCTTTTCAAGGAAAATTATTTGAAGAATATTTGGCTATTTGAAGAATTTATTTTTACCCATTGTTACTCTTTTCCAAGCTTTTTTGAAATTATTTCAGAATATTGGAGATGACGATAAAATTATGAGAACAATTTTCATTAACAACGACGCTAATGACGACGACAACGAACGATGGACAAATTTCGATCACAATAGCTTTCTCGAGTCTTCAACTTTGGCGAATGTATAATTTGAGAGAGAGAGAGAGAGATAAAATACCTGTTTTTCATTTGAATTTTCATCACGCCGATGGATTGTCACTGTGTCTGAACACCGTCTAGGAGAGAGTCATGTTGAAGAAATAATTTTTGTTATTATTTATATCTTAATTAATGCTACAATTTTGTTTAGATATTGATAGAATAAAGAGGAAATTTTTTACCTTATTTTTTGTTTAAGTTGCACCGCTTTTGATCTAGATCTTAGACCCTGCGATCCGCCCTTCAAACAATTGCAAATAATTTTTCACAAATGATTTTATTAAGGATAAATAAATCATTAAAACGATAAAAAAAATATAATAGCTATACTTACGCAAATAAAACAAACAAGTGCCAAAATAAGAAATATTTCCAAATTCGTCATGTTGTCCCTTAAAGTTCTTTGATTAATACAAATGGAAGAATATCTTATATTATATATAGAAATATATATGTATATATGCAATGAATGAAAATAATTTGCATAAATTAACATGACACTCTTTGCACTATGCGCACGATTTTAACCCTCTTACTGCCAGAACTGTGTCAAAATTGTGCAGTTGATACGCCAGCACTTTTTTCTTACAAGAAACAGAGTGCATTGAATATTTCTTTTCTAATTGTAAGCAACATCCTAAAGATAAATTCTTTATTGTAATAATTTCATAAATTTACTAAATAACGAACACAAGGACATTTCAACTTTTGAGTTAATGACGTCAGCTCCTTTGCTAATATTACGTCACAGTCGTAAGAAAAAGTCCGCGTAATTTGTCAAAGTACTAAAAATCATAATGTAAAAGAGTATTTAAAAAAAGAACACTTTAAATGCAATAATGAGCTGATTTTTTTCTTCCTGCTGTTTAAATTACAACTTATAAATCTCTCATTTAGAAGAGAGAATAACATAATTTAAAAGTATTCTAGTTATAAATTCAGCTAGTATTTTATGTAAAACGCTTCTTCCTTTTGCTATAAAAACAGGAAAACGTCATCTAAATAAACCCAACACTTTTCGCCTAGAATTTTTTTTCTTGGACAAATAAATAAGACTATTCTGTATGTCTATTCGATCCGCTGGGATACAAAAAAAAATCCTGCGTTACCAGTATTTTTTAAAATGTTTAGGCCTATAATATAATATTTACTAGAGATCGAAGCTCGTTAAATTATATACAATGGATAATCTCATTTTTGCCGAGAGACGAATTCAAACAAAGCATATTTTATCTGAGAATTTCAAGTGCAGAAAAAAAGGGAAATTTTCATAAATTTGACACATAATTTCAAATAAGATGTTTCTTACAGAAGTAGATCTAGCCGAATATCGCAGGGGGGGGGGGGGGGGCTAAGCAAACGATGCGCACATGTGTTACAAATATTTGGAGGGGTGCTGGGGGGTTGGGGTTGGTGAAATTAATAGATATAATCATATGTAACATAAATTGTTTTTGGAACATTCAGTCATTGAGAAAATTGTTTGATGTAAAGGTGTGCATGTGAAGTTGGTCTACGTCATTGCCATAGAAACCGGGGGGGGGGGGCATGGGGGCCGTAACGCATCCATAACTTTACATATATGGTAGACTGTGGGAAACATAGCTAGTACAATATATAAACATAGTTACTTTAGCTTGCCCCCCCCCCCTTCCCAATATTAACATAAATAGCGCCTGCATACTTTTTTTAGCTTGTCAAAGAATTTTTGTTTGATAGCCCCCCCCTCTCCACCACCCCCAAATGAAATTCCTTACTATGGATATTGGACTGAAACGTCGACAACATATACATGAAACTCAAACAGTAATTTTAAGAATTTAAAATTCATATATGTCCCACTTTAAGAATTTAAAATTCATACATGTCTTGTCTAATGCCATGATATAAAAAATCTGATGGGCCTAATTTTACAAATTTGATTCATTATTCTGTTCAAAATTTTCTGCTGATTGTAAGCAGAGTTAATCGAAATCTTTAGGCAAATCTAAAGAATGACGTATGAACTATCTGAAACATATGGAATATAAAAGAAACACACAGCTTACGTGTAATTGCAGAACACAACGTTTCTTTAATTACATGTAGTCATATTGTTAAATAGTATTGCTTGCATGAAAATTTCGATATTTCAAAATTGTTGTAAAATAAATTCTATTTTCAAAAAATTAATGTAAAGAAGAAAAGTAATTAAGTTACATGTAATCATAAAATACATTTTTCTGATAGTCGTTATAGTTATTTGGTTAAACAGACTAGTTGTATAAGTATTCTTATAAATACGTTTGTTGTGCAGAACAAATATACTAGTAATAGTCAAAGCAGAGGATCGAAAAAAGGAGAAATCATTTCAAATCCCAAGCCCTCCCCCCCCCCTCCCCCAATCCCAGACACTTCTTTGACGGTCAATTCAGCATTGAAATTGAAACAATCCTGAATGAAAGGACAATCGGCTTTCCTACATTTGGTGCAGAATATGTTCAACTCTCGCACGATTTTGCATTTAACAAACGTGGAAATCACCAATCTCATCAAGAATTTTTTTTACGGATAAACGGCCTGTTTCTGACACAATTCAGAAACTGTAGCAGATCATATCCAATCGATGAATGTTGTTTAAAAATGTAAACTAATTCAACCGAGGTTATACAAGTATTACTCGGGTAGCTATTAAATTTATTCATATCAATACACTGTTATAATTTAACTATCAAGTGTAAAAAAGGCGATGATTTCGCCTCAAAAATGCCTTCGAATTGAACAAGCATCCAGCAGTAATATGCATCCATGTGCGTTATTAGCAATTTGTCCCCCACCTTTCTGGTTCTTTCATTGACGGATATGTTGATATCAAGGTCGGTGGCAAATAATGAAAATTTTTAAAACAACAGCTTAAGGAGGAGAACAGGAATAATGTTATAGATGTTTATTTCAGTGGCGTGGCTATAGGCAAAAATAATGTGGATGCTTTTTCTGAATCAAGCTAGGGGGTCTGGGGAAGCTTTTAGCCTTCCCCCAGCCGGGGGTTGGGGGGATCCACGGAAATTGACAACATTTAGGAGTGTTAGATTGAGTATGCAGTGTTTGGATAATGCAAAAGAATTTATCTTTGAACAATGATACCAATTTATTAAAATACGTTCTCTTTTCAAAGAATTTTGTATTTTTCTTTAAAAAAAAATAATAATGTGGATGCTTAGGCATGCAAGCATACATAGAAGCTCTGCCACTGTAATTTATAAAAACCAGGAAATATTAATCCCGCTAAAAATGTATTTCAAGTATTCTGTCTCGTTACTACTATATAAAGAAATTGTCAGAGGAATATATGCACAAAGTGCGAACGATTTTATTTGCTCAGAAACATATCGGAATTCAGGAAATAAGTTAGTGTTTCTCAGGAACGGATCTTTCAATATGTAAAAATAGTCGGTGCGAGAGGAAAAGGTTTTTTTCTTCTTGTGACATTCCGCAGTCACCGAATTTACAAATGTATAACAAATCAAGCGAATATTCTATCTGTAGATCTTTAGATATATACATTGTAATATATTAATCGAAGAAACAATGATTTATTGAAGATGCACTATTTCAAAACATAAATTAAACTATTTTCCTTCTTTTAAAAAAATGGCGTCTACACGTCCCATGATTCACTTGTACATGTACATGTAGTACATGTTCTCCTGGTTTGATTTTCTGAAATTCCCATTACATTTTTTTCTTTTGATTCCCAAAATCAAGTTTTTAGAGTAAAGTTTACTAAATAACCATAAACATCTGATTTATTTCTGATCAGCTAAAAATTCATAATCTAATTTTTCTGTATATACTCTGGCCCCAAGATCGTTTAGCAATCCTATACTTTAAAATCAAAATTTCAGTAATTCACAAAACGGATATTTATTACAAACTGACCTTTGAAAATTAAAATTCTGAGAGGAAAGTTAGGTGGAGGGGGTAATTTTCTCGATTTAAATTATATATTTTAATACCCTCGCACCTCGCACCTCGCACGACAGAGTACTGTAGATCACTAAATTCACTAAATTTTAACGACACATTGTTTCCGCGAAATAATCCACCCTTATAATAAGCGAGACAATTTTTTTTACGAACTGTGGTAATTGCTCTATATAATTTTTAGGAATACTTCTATACGCGAGAATGAAATTTTCGCGAGCACAATGTCTCGCGTAATTACGCGAAAATAAAGTTCTCGCGAATAAAAAATGATTAACAGTATTTATTTCCAAGGTATACAATTTTAAGATTTTATTTTTATTTACTTTCTTTACCAGAAAAAGTTTATTAATACAAGTATACTTATCATACTTTGCAAAGTATAAGCGCTAACAAAGATTCTAAGCTATGTCTTTAAAATAGGCTATGATATTTATGAAGTCATTATCATTATTCTTTGTAATGTTCTTTTTTTTTTTTTTTTTTGGTGACTCTTCAAGTTAATCTATAGTAAAAGTACCAAAAAGGAATCAAAGACCGTTTCATTTATAATTTGCAAAGTCCACTGCAAAGTGTCTTGAATATGCCCTGTATGTATTGTGACGTTTTTGACGTCATCACTGTGAGTTTGACGTCGCCTTCAAGATTATTTTTGTTCATCATATTCTTTTCAATTTATAGTGAATATATCCTGATCATACATATCCCATCTTTTCAGAATATTTTCAAAAACATCCTCACTTTATTTAGTATATAAAACTGGTTAATTTTGAAATGTGCAGCTTACGTCATTTCCATCTGTTACAGTCAAAACATTTAATGATAATGAAATGGGAGGGTATAATCGACAGGGACGTCCGAGAAAACATTGGATTGGAATTTTACTTTGAAATTCATTTTCAAACCACCTCAGCTACGCTAGAACGCACGAAGTTATTGATGACCCAGAAGACAAATTATTTCATTATCGGAATATTTTGAAATTTATGTAAATCTTAATTTTCTATCCAGTGTTTTTTAAAGAGATATAAAGGGACAAATATTTGATTTCTGTTTGGTATGTGTATGTGTGTGCTGGTGGTGGTGATGGTGGTGGGAATTGGGGGAGTGGGTTGGATGGGGGCTGAACGATCTTGGAAATAAATATGAAAGTTTTCTTTCAGTTTGGACAACCCCTTCCTGTTTTTGTTTGTCAAGCATTTTTCAGTGGAGACAAAACTAAATCTCTCCAGTATCCAGATGTTAAAAAAATACACACAAATTTCAATTCACAATTTACTTTCATAACAAGGCCAAGTTATTTAAATAAATCTAGTAAAAAAATGTCTTGTTTCATTAAAATTGCAGTAAAAAAAAAAATAAAGTTTCTGCATCGCGTCGCACTGGCAGAGAATGAAATAAATCTTCCTAATGATTTTTTCGTGGAAAATAAAACTTAATAGTCTTATTTA